ACCTTCAGCAATCACCATCCTGATTGGTCAGCAGCCATCAATATCAAGGCAAGACCCTCCACCACCAAAAAGATTATGACTCACCGAAGGTACTGACTATGGTTAACATTTTTCAGCAATAAAGTATTTTTTAAATTAAAGTATGTGCATTAATTTTTAACATAAAGCTACTCCCCACCTAAGAGATGACAGTATAGTATAAACATAACTTTTATACATACTGGAAAACCAAAAACTTCATGTGACTTGCTTTATTGCAATTTTCTCTTTTATTGTAATGGTCTGGAATCAAACCCACAGTATCTCCAAGGTGCACCTGCATATCACTGGGAGCAGTGATTTTGGTATTCCTGTCATGTTATTAAAACACTATGAATGTGGACATCACCTCAGGTTATGTGCATATTCATGAAAAAATTAGAAGATACATATGGGAGTTTGAAATGTTTATTGAAACAAGTACACAAAACTGAATATTTTAAAACATTACAAATAATTACATATATAAACATCTCAACTGCACAATGTGTTTTATATACATGTATGTATGTATATATTTATATACACATGTATTTAAACTCTGCTTCATCTTTCAACTTTTTATCTGAGTGAAAAGAAGAACACTTTCCTCATTCAGGAGATTTCTGATGTTGTAATAATTACCTAGAAAAAAAGTGATAAGGAAGTTAGAACTTATTTCCATAGGAATCATTTCCTTTTGAATAAATATGTAGTCAGCACTAAGGCAGTTACAGTATATAGTGTCAAATTTTTAAAAAATCATCTAATCTAAAATAAATCTATTTAATTCTATGAACTGAAAAATACAAGAGTTAACCACCACCTGTGATCCAGATAAGGCTTGAAAGAATGTAAATTTCACATCATTCTTAAAATGAATGCAAAAACAAATTAGATAAGGGTACAGGAAGGAAGAAAATCTTCTCTGAACCCAATTGTGTTTTTTTGGTTTTTTAATTTATATATAGTTGATTTACAATGGTTAGTATTAGTTTCAGATATACAACAGTGATTTGATATTTTTATAGATTATACCCCATTTAAAGTTATTATAAAATATTGCCTATACTTCCTGTGCTGTACGTTACAAACTTGTATCTTATTTATTTTATACCTAGTAGTCTGTACCTCTTAATCCTCTATCTCTGTCTTGCCCCTTCTCGCTTCCCCTCTCTCCACTGGTAACCACTAGTTTGCTCTTCATATCTGTGAGTCTGTTTCTGTTTTGTTATTTTCATTTGTTTATTTTATTTTTCAGACTCCACATATAAGTGAAAACATACAGTATCTGACTTTCTCTGTCTGACTTTCTGAACCTAACTGTTATTATGTATTTGGAATGGCTATGGATTCCCCTACACCAGACACAGATAATATACAGATAAGTATAAAAGACAAAATGTTAAGTAAAATAAAACCTGAAAGTTAAACGGAGGCAAATGCTACTCTTAAATAAATTGAGTAATAAATAACAGCAAAAGTGAAATACAGATGGACAGCCTCACTTAAAGGCAAGTTTACAGTACTGATTTTCTATATATTAGAAATTAATACATATTAGAATTAACTGAGTTAATAAATGTAAAGTGTTCACAACAGTGTTGGCACATACAAAGGACTATATAAACATAGGTATTATTATTGTCTCCTTTAAGAATGTAAGCTCCATGAGGGTAGGGAGTTTTGCCTGTTTGTTCACTTAGGTATCCCACACCCTTAAACAATGCTTGAAGACACTCAATCACATTTGTTGAATGAATGAGTGAACAAATGAATAAATTAAAATTGCTGTTTCCAAAGACTTATGCTCGTCAATAGCTGATGAAGCACACTATTCTGTATGTTTAAAATTACCTACTAAAAATTGTTTGACCACTTAATGTCTTTGAGAGAACACAGGGGAAATAATTTTCCTTCTACCCAGAAAACAACATACCTCCTAACTAAATATTTTTATACATAGCAATTAGTATACTCAGTCAATTTTCATGTATCAAAACCCTGATATACTTATCTATTGATAAAATTAAGAGAAAACATGCACCAAACTTCTTTGGCATAAGTCATATCATGCTTCATTTTGACCACTGTGGCTTCCATTTTCATGATGCTCATGAGCTACTATATAAATATTTAACTATGCAAAAGAAAATGTTTTCAATTATTCTTACCTGAAGGAACATAGAATGAATCCCCAGTTGTTATTATATAAGGTGTTTCATGTAAGGTACATAAAAGGTCACCAAAATTAACATAAAAAACCTGTAAAATTAAAAATTAAGTTTCATTTCAAATTATAACACCACAAGTACACTCCAAAGAAACTTAAAGTAAATGTGGTAGGCAGAATAACAGACCTCCAAAGATGGCCATGCTCTCATCTCTAGGATCTGTTATGTTACATGGCAAAGGAGACCTCGAGACGGTGCAATTATTCTGGATTATCTAATCACATGAGCCTTACTTGAAAGTAAGAAATTTCTCCTGCTGGAAGCAGAGGAGAGATGAAGCAGAGGAGAAGTCAGAGAAATCTGAAGCATGAGAAGGACTTTCACTGTTGCTGGTGCTAAAGATAAGAAAGGCATGAGCCAAGGAGTGTAGGCTATTTCTAGAAGCTGAGAAGGACACCCTGGCCAACAGCCAGTGAACAAATAGGAACCTCAGTCCTACAGCCACATGAAACTGAATTCTGCCAACAACCTGAATGAATTTGAAAGCAGATTTATTCTAAGAGCCTTCAGAGAGGAATGCAGATCTCCCAACATCTTGATTCCAGCCTTGTGACACTCTAAACAGAGCACTCAGCCAAGCCCACTCAATTTTTAACCTACAAAACTGTGAGATAATAAATGAGTGTTGTTTAAGTTCGTGGTAATTTGTTACAGAAGTAACAGAAAACAAATACAGGAAGAAATTTCTTTTGCTCTTCCTTTTTATTTACTAGTTTATGAAAATTCAGAACAACCACTGTAATATCACTTAGATATACTAGAAAAATAGCTGTTTTATGTGCACCTCTTTAAAGGTTACATGCTTGGGACACGCAACTTAATCGGACGAATCAAAGAATAAAAAGCAAAAAAAAAATTATACATTTAAACAAGAATCAACATTAAGAAAATAAAAAAGGGTAATGTAGCACTCAGTCATACAGGCTTCCGTATTCAAACATGGCAAATTTTTACATTTTATAGATAGCATCTGGCAATGACCTGTTTTTTAGACAACTAAATACAAAGTGTAGGGCCTTTCAAACTTTGAGATTCAAATTTTGAGATTCAGCCATGAAGAATATTTTGCCTCAGAGGATTATGCCTCCTCCTTCTTTCTCTTTTCTTACTACTATTAAAAATATGAACCTAAAATACCAGAAAAACAAGAGCAACAAGCACTTAGGATCTAGCACTTATTCCATGCCAGCCACTGTTCTAAGCACTTCCTTTTACTCATTCAATGTATGCATCTACCAATGAGATAGATACTATTTTAAAAGCTTTTCACAGATGAAGAGAATGATGTACAGAGGGGTGTAACTTTTCAAGGTCACAGTGTAAATGGAAGAGCTAGGATTTGAACTCAGGCATTTGATTCCAGAATCCATGTTCTTAGCCCCTACAATATACCCCGTAAATGGAAAAAGTTCATAAAGTGTTTCTAAAGGTCCTCTTATAACTTAATAAAATAAGTATTTTTTTATTATAGCCAAAAAGTTTTGCCTGAAAAAAGAGAAAAAGGTAATACACACACTACCCAGAAAGTCAAGCATATATATTTCTAGGCGTTTTTTCATTATCTATTCAGTTTGGCGCTTCTAGGCATACCTGTTTCTGCAAACATTTTACTAAGAATGCTTTTGAAATACACAAAAATAGAATGATGAACTCCCATGAATAAATATCAAACCCCAATAACTTGCTTTATTCAGAGTCTGTTTTCCCCATGCCATATTAGTTGGAAATGAATGCCTAGCATCATAAATCACCTATAAATATTTCAATGTGTGCCAAAAGAACAAAGTCCTTTTTAAAAACATGACCACAACACTGTTATCACACCTAAAAATAAATGGATATTTACTATCAAATGCCGACTAAGTATTCAAATTTCCAATTATCTCTTAAATATCATATTTTTAAGGGTTTGAATCAAGATCCAAATAAGAGGCACACATGGTCACTACTTGATCTACCTTTTAAATCACGCAATCTATAATGGTTCTCACTTTGGGGGCGATTTTGCTCCTCAGGGGACAATTGGCAATGGCTGGGGACATTTTTAATTCTCGTAACTAAAGGGATACTACTGGAAGTTAGTGGGTAGAGGTTAAGGATGCTTCTAAACATTTCAGAATGCACAGGACAGTCTCCCTACAACAAAGAATTGTCCAGTCCAAAATATCAGTAGTGCCATGGTTGAGAACCCTGATCTATACATTCCACCTGATTCTCTCTTTTTAATTCCTTGCAGTTTATTTATTAAAGAAATCAAGAAACAAAATTTGTTTTAAAAATCTTTACACAGCTGGATTTTGCTGATTATAACCCCAGGATGTCATTTGAAAAGTCTGCTATTTTTTTTTATCATTTTTCAGTTTTACTAGCTAAAATGATACAATTTGACTGCACATATACAATGTATTGCATGTAAATACATATATACAATATATGGAAATATTTTTAAATTTACATACATGTACTGTTCATTACTTCTAAGAACAGTTTAGAGCCTTAGCTTTTTAAACTTGCATAGTTATCAAAGGAATAAAGCCAACCACAAAATAAGAATCAACAGAATGCAGTAATCCAATCACAAAGGACAGTCAAATGTGCTTACACATTTTCAAGAAATCAATCATCTAAGTTATAAATAATAAGTAGTTCATTTGTGTCCTTTTTTTTAAGATTACGGTATTCTTTATTTCCTGTGAATTGGTAGTTCTAAGGACTACAGCAAATTCAGGTGGTGGTGTGTGTGAGGTGTTTTTTTTATTGTTGTTGTTCTTTAAAAGGTAGGGGAGGCAAGATTACTTCATAGACAGTGTTGTATACTTCCATTTGAAGGCACATAATATCTGGTCATACACTTTTTAGATGTTAGCAGACACTGATCATAGATCCAATAATTTATCAGGTGTTGTAAACAGAAATATTAATTGGAACAGAAATATTCTAATTAATAAATGAAGAAGGAATGTTAAAATGGAGTATTACCAAGAAGGATAAAATTCCCCTCATTTATCATTTGGTTACCTAATAGTACAGTTTATATGAGAACAGCAGAATAAGTGTTTAATTATTTCCCTTTATTTACCATATTTGTTGTTAAGGGTTGGCGGCCTAGAATTCTTTAACAGTGTTGAATTAAGCTTTTCTTTTTGTAGTAGTCTTAGAAATTCACAGATTTAGATATAATTGATGTATATCAATCCACTGAAGTTATTCTTATTGATACTCAAGTTTTCGCATCTTTGTCCAGGTAGTGTGTCTTCAAGTTCGATTCTGAGATCTTACGAGCCAATCTTAATGGTCTTTGACAGTTTGCCATCACGTATAATAAAAATATTTCAAGCTCAGCCCGGGCCTGAAATCAGACATCTCTCCAAGGAACTCTGGTTCCTTTAATGTGTTGCTGTCACTTTGTTTTTTAGTTCTGGAGCAATTATTGTCTGGAAATATTTTTTCAAGTATTTCTACCTTTTGGTCATTTGGATTTTAACTCCTTCTGTTTTTGTTTTTTTTTTCTGTTCTTCGTATCACTAAACTTTCATATTTTCCATTTCTTGATATCCTCTTGTCTTCTAGTAGAGCTCCACAACCAACTCCCACAGTTAATTTGTTAATTCTTCTGTGCTACTTTCTCTCTTACTGATTATCTAGAACTGAGTGTGAAAGAGTTAATAGCCTATGCTGGTTCTCCATCTTGCTCTTTTTGTTTCTCAAGAGCGTATATTTAAAAATGTGCTTCATTTTTTAAAATGTAAAAATACTCCATTATTTTTTTTTAAACTTTAACTCTGATTTTCATTATGAAGTTAAAGGCAATATTTAGAAGAAATAAAAATCAAATATAATCATCTAGTAACATGTTATTTTCTGTAGTTCCTTCACATCTCTGTCATTTTCATTTTTAAATTCTAGTCAGAAAAAAATAAAAAGAATTTTCTGTCTTGCAGTTTGCTTAAATGTTTATCCTAAAGGTGTTCCAGATGGCTATTCTTCAAAATAATATGCTTACATTAATATAAAAATGTTTAGTACAGTGCCTGGAACATCTAAGTGCTATATAACTGATTATCATATAATGGTTTATTTATTACTAAGTCAAAATATAAATATAGCCATTTTCTTCCTGTAGCACAGTTTCAGTAGTTTCTAATGCTTGCAATTACTGTCAGTGTTACAATGAATAACTATGTATATTCAGCTTCCCTAACTTCTTCTTTTTAATGGACGAACTGGGGACTGAATCCAGAACCTCATTCATTCTAAGTATGCACTCTACCACTCAGCTATACTCGCCACCCTCCCACCCCCAGCTTCCCTAACTTTTCATTTATTTTCCTAGGAAAAAATTATGAAATTATATTCATAAGTGAAAGTGTATAACAATTTTCCAATAATTTCTACTGAGTAATTATAAAGTGTCCTTTATTTTTAACATGGATTTCTTTGAATATTAGGTTAAACACTTTCATTTACTATTCAATATTCTTTTTTTATAACAAAGGCATTACAGTTTAATGGGTAACTATTATTAGTTCAATGATGACATTTCATAATGCTTATCTTCATTATTAATTGTTCCTTAATTTTCCTTCTTTTTTTCATTTCGGAGGGGGAGGTAATTAGGTTTATTTGTTTATTTATAATGGAGGTACTGGGGATTGAACCCAGGATCTCGTGCGTGCTAGGCATGCACTCTACCATTAAGCTATGCCCTCCTCCCCTATTAATTGTTCCTTAATAATTACACAGGGATTATCTATTACTTTAGTTAGTTAAATGTGTTATTCTTACTCTCTTAATAACACCTGGAAATCTATAACATTTTAAGACTGGATTAAAAAATATTTTAAAATATTTTAAATCTGGATTCTATATACTATATTGATGTAATAGTAAATTACACTTTTACTCTCATATGTACATTTTCCTTTCCTTGCCTTGATTTGCCTTAATATAAACTGAAGGGTCCTGATGCTCTTTTTGTTTCTCCTTTTTGAGCTTACTTTAACTGTCAGTAAAAAAAAAAGTGTTTTGAATGTTGTCCTCCAGTAACCCATGATCCTGAAATGATACTTATTTACTGAAAATGTTACTTACTGAAAAATGTACCTTAGATACAATATTTTTTAAATGCTGGTATAATATTAAATATTCTTAAAATCTGGTGATTCTTAAAATCTTTAATTTTCAATTTCAAGATGCAGAGATTGTCTGATATATATACAATGTTTCAGGGATGTGTGTCTCCAGTGAGAGACAGAGAGAGAGAGAGTGACTCACCTTGAGTCTTACTATAACTTCATCCAGTAATACTGCTATTTACAGTAATGTATTATTTAGTACTTACTGAAGCAACTCACTCCAAGTCCTCAATCTGCTGCAAACTAGTTATATGACTTTGAAGAAGTCTTTTAACTTCTTTATTACTGAACTGCATGATCAGAGAAATGAGATTTCAACTTAATCTCAATAATCCCCTCCAGCTTTAAAATTATAATGATTTGTTTGTGAACCTAATTTCTAAGATTCTGTTAAGTAAAGACCATTCCTTAAATTTCTGAATCTCAAGGTTACACTGCTATGCACAAAACAAGTACTTTTAAACAGCCTTTGGGTGACTGACTCTAAATAGATTTAACAAATAAGAAAATTATCTGTTCACTATAGTAATAAAATCTCATTTCTGAGGAAATAGCAATTTTAATGCCTCATCAATTCCAATAAATCAGAGTTGTACCAACAGCAAAACATAAATATATGGAGAAATATACTCACCAATGTATCAAGGCCAACATGTTGCTTTCCCTTTTCTTGATGAGGTCCTAGTATCAATTTTCCAGTAGAAAAAAAGGGTGTATCCAATGTTTTATATACTTTTAACTCACCATGTTCAACACAAAATTGATATGTATCTCGTGGCCTCACAAGATCTAAGGGAAAAAAATTAACAAAAGTAACAGCAATGATATTGCTCCATGATACAGTATATATACACACACATATAGTTATTTCTAGATATAAACCTGCCTTAGAAAGATAGGTATGATTAAGAGCATTGATTTTGGAGCTAGAATACCAGCAGTCAGATCCTATCTCTGTCTTACAAGCTATGTGACCTTAGTTTAGCCAAGTTGCTTATCCTCTCAGTGCCTCCATTTCCTTTTCTATAAAATGCGATAGTAATAGTTCATCTACATTAGAGTTGTGAATATGAAATGAGTTAATGTGTGTAAAGTATTTAAAACACTGGCACAAAGTAAGCATTAGGTAATTCTTAACTATTAATAATAAAAATGTAGTATTATTATTATTCATATAACAGCTCAGATAGAAAACAAAATCAGCTAAGAGACAAGAAAGAATTCCTTATCTTAAAAAAGTTTAACATAGCCAAAGTACAAATGTATCATCAGTTAAAAAGCACTAAGTAACCAAAGTTCTAACTATAGCTCACAAATAACTAACTCACTTTTAAAATTTCCCTTTCATTTACAAACCTTTCCAGATCTATAATTAATAGATTTTTCTATTATCAGCTTCTGACTATTTCCTTGGATATTTGGAAATGTTAGTAATGCCACAGACTGCAGGATATAGAAAATACATAAAATGGATTCAATCAACAAATAAAAAGTGATGAATTCTGGACAACATTCACAACTTTAAAAATATGATACAGTATAGTAATGTTTTTAGTTAAAACACTACACTAAACAAAATTCCCTGAACTTCTAACTCTGTTGCCAAATAAATAATCTGAATAAAGAAATAACTTTGATACATAAGAGATTACATAGAATATATTCCACAGCCAAAATTTTAAGTATAAATACCATTACTGCCTTTCTGGTCTGACCAATTTGTCCTCCAACTTTGGATAAATAGTCCTCAGTACTCATTGGTACAGTCATAATAGTCATTAAAACATGTTAATATATCCTGTGTGTAAATATCTCCTGGTTGATAAATAGCTGACTGTTCCCTACTTAACCCGAACACCCTACTATAGTCTGTCCCTTGGAATCTCCCATGGTCTCCCAGACACAAAATGTTTAATGCCTATTAAGTATAGCAGGAGGCTTCGAGAACCTTAAGACTAAGCCTGTCATTTGTTAGGTTGACTCATGCCCTTGCTAGTCATCCTCCCAAAGGTTTTGTACCCCAGATACCATTACTAGCATCTCAAAGTTCAAAAGGCTGTCTAAATCCTTCCCACAATCCCTGCCTGGTCTCACAGTAAGGGTGTATCTGAGTGTCTGCCAGTTAACTTGCTATACTTCTCCATAAACAGCCACTGTCCCCCAGGCCTGTCAAAGAAAGCCTAGAACCTACTGGGGGAGGCAGAGGACAAATGCATGGTACTATATGTCCCCTGGAGGTTGTCTGCCATCAATTCCCCTAGAGTAGTCCTCACACAGGCTGCTTACTGGAATTAGACCCTTTACAGGACTTTGGCTCTGACATCCAGGGAGAAAAAGGCAAAGTAGATAGGCCAGTCTTCAAGCAAACAGTTTGTCCTTCCTAGTTGTTAAATTAAGCATTCTCAATTTCATCCCTGATCTTACCCATAAGAATAATCTCTCTTGTTTCAGGGTCCTTTACCCTCGTTGGCTGCAAAGGATCTCCAAGAGGTATATTCAGATTTACCACAAGTTTATTCTCTGCAAAAAGAAATACCACTAAAATACAAACTATTTACTCAAAATTCTTTTCAATTAAAAAAAATCTAGTATGAAATACAGCTATGGACAAGTTGTAAAGGAAATTGCCAGCAGCATAATGATTTCTTCTTACTTATCAATGACCACTTTGATAAACAAAAATTCAAAAGCCACAATGATATAATATAGAAGCAAACATCCCAAACTTATTTTCTGTAAGTCTATTGTAACAGAACTCTTGAACTCTTGCATCATCAAGAAGTTAAATGGTGTTTTGCACATTCTCTAAGAGAGCTGAAGTATGAGATTCACTTTAGAAAGAATTCATTAAAATGTCTATTTTAACCATAGTTTGAACATGGAAAAGATAAGCTTCATTGACAGGGTAATTTACTGATGTGGAAATATTTTATACTACGCTATTAACAATTTTTTTTAAAGATTAGATTAGTTTACTTTCAAAATCTGCGGGAAAAAAGTAGACATTAAAAAGTGAATTCACCCTAAAGTAGTATTACCCTGAAGCTTTTAGAAGTATATTTCAAAATTTGCAAAGAGCTACTTCTCAAAGCACTGTTATTTAAAATAAGGATTAAGTTCATACTTCTTTCATCATTATCAAGACAGATCCTTTTCCTATTATCTACTGCGTTGACTTTTCCCAAGTTTTCTTTTGCTTTCCTTTTAGATGATACTGTGTCTGGGGAAAGTATTCCACCAATTACGAATCCTCCTGAAATTTAACCAAAAAAAGGGTAAATTATCACACCTGGCAAAGTAAAAACCTTGAAACAAAACTCTTTAAATTAGTATAGCACATTTCCTTTCAAAATACCAAAGAATACATTACTACTACTACATTCCATAGCTAAAAATTCAAATATAACAAATAGCAACCAATTTTACTTAGGTCTCTACTATCCTAAATCTTCTTAGAAGCACTGATGAAACCTGATGGAATGGTCTCTGTTGCTTGAAATCAGCAGTCATCAGTGGAGGTTTAAAATACAAAGAAAACAAAGGTTAGCAATGAACTATTTATAGTAATCTACATGTGGGTTTAGTACTTTGACTTAGAAATATCCATCAAAAAAAGAAAATAACTTTAAAATGACACTCACTATACTTTCTTTCCCACCCTCTATCATTTCTGTAGAACAATATAAGAAAACGGAGTAAGAATAATAATGGAGAATACACAATCTTTGCCAGTTATAATCTTCTCACACTCTGATCTAGTGCTTCATTTTATGCAATTAGGAAATTTGTTAGATAGTATAGAAATGATAACCCTCTGTAAAGCCACACACTCACCTCATATTGCTACCAAAGAGAAAAAAAATCAGCATCTCTAGTAATCAGAGAAATCTGGACTTGAATCTATTCTTGTCACATTTTTGGAGGATGATGATTAAATAAGGTAATATATGTAAGACAGTGCTTGGCAAATAATATACCTCAATAAACTGCAGTAATTACCATTATTTTTTTTGAGACATTAAAGCATAAAGTTTACCTGATGGCCTTCCTTGATAATCTAGACGCTCTCCTCGCCAGTATTCCAAAGGTTTTGATCGTGTTCTCACAGTCCTGCGAACATTTGGTGTGTTGGAGGGCAATACTGTAAAAAGACATCAGACAAAAAATGTACACATATAAATGTTAGATGGTACTTTGCAATGAAAAGACTGATACTACTTTCTAGAAGACTAATGCTTCTAGACAAAATACTAGAAAAATTAATTTAAGACATGTTTGTGCTATTAAAGAAATGTCAATGAAAAATAAGCTACTAGATTGGAAAAGATTTAATAACATCAATGGCTAATGATTTTAAAGGTACACCTGAATTCTCATATACTGTAGGTAGAAATGTAAGCTGCTTGAAGACAAATTGGCAATACCTACAACTGTAATACTGTTTGACTCAGAAACTTCATTTTTAGAAAATGAGTTTGCAAAAATATTCAGAAAAATGAGCAAAGATACAAGTACAAGAACATTCATGGTAGTACTGTTTATAACAGAATCAGGAAACAAAAATCAAATTGAAAACCATATAAATGGTTCACAACAGGAAATTTAGAAATCAGGGATAGTTATTATGTATGCATGTGTTTGTGTGTACACACAAGTATCTGAACAATGCAAAGAACTATAGACTAAGTTTGCTATCTATATAATCAGCTTCCTATGATTTTACTTTTGATTAGCTAGGGTCGTCCAATTCTGAAAGTGGTTTATCAAAGTTTCCCAATCTAGGTGGGGAAGGCACAGCTCAGTGGAAGAGCACATGCTTAGCACACACAAGGTCCTGGGATCAATCCCCTGTACTTCCTTTAAAAAAAAATCTCCCAGTCTAACTGTATTATTTAAATTAAAATCTCCTTGCTTTTTCTTAGTTTTTTTTTTTAATACATTTTGGTTGCTAGGTTGTATGGTACTGAATAGTTTACGATTTTTCTATCTTCCTCAATAAATTGCTAATTTTATTATTATTGCAAGTCCTTTATCCTGTTCAGCACTTTTAACCTTAAATTTCATTTCATCTAATGTTAAAATTACATTACTATTTTCTTTTTGTTTACATTAGCCTACCTAACTCTAATAATCTTTTATTTTAAAACTTGAAGTGTTTCCTATAAACATATAGGTCAGTTTGTATTGCTTAACCAACTCTGATAGTCTCTATCCTATTAGAGGAATTCAATCCATTCATACTTACTGTAACAAGTAATATGCTTCCTTTTATTTCTCACATCTTACTTTATATTTACTGGTTATTTTACATTAGTGATTCTTTTTTCCCCTCATTTTTATTGGTTTGATCAAAATACCTTGGTCCTTTCAAAGTTTAGCTGTGCTTCTGGACTCTAACATTGGTTACCTTCCCACACCTGACACTCAAAAATCAAACTCTCATTTCTCCATGATTATATTAAAAACTATACCCATTACCAAGATATGTTATCTTCTCCTTTTTCTCACTTAGTAAAATAAAACTTTTACACTTTTATTACACCTCTTCCACTTCTACTCTCCTCTCCACCATATCAAGTTTTGTTAAGATGGTCTGGATTTCAAGCTATTATTGCAAAAATCCTTACTAAGCACTTATAAATCCCCAATCACATTAGCATTAAGTAGCAGACGCCCTTAAGTGTGAGCAATGAGACGTGCCTTTGTATAATCACCTTCTCTAAGATACCTATGACATATTCAACAGAATATGATAAAAGTGATAGGAAAACACTCCTGTGACTACATCACGGCTATACATACAAGATGCTACCTAGCAGAAGCAGAGAGAAATTATTCCCTGCTGACTCTGAAGAAGCAAGGTGCCACATTGTGAAGGGGCCTATGGAAAGAATCATGTGACAAGGAACTGCAGGTGACCTCCAGAAGTTGAGAGCAGTGGCCCATGGATGACACCCACCAAGAAAACAGGTACCTCAATCCTATAGTTTCAAGGAACTGAATTCTGCTAACAACCACATGAGCTTGGAAGAGGACCTTGAGCCTCAGATAAGACCATGGCCCAGGCTAACACTTCTGATTGCAGCCTATGAGAAGCTTGAACAGAGAACCCAGCTAATTTGTGTCTAGGCTCCTAACCATGGAAACGATGGGATAATAAATGTGCGTTATCTAAACCACTAAATTTGGTACACAGAAAACAAATACACATTATTTAAATTTAACCACATATATTGAGAATTATTCTTCGCCACTGTTTCCTTTCTTTGGACTTAGTTCTGATTTATATGATACTTGGTTAGATTACCATACACAGATATTTTATATTGAGGATACTAAACTTAATATTTCATTATCTGCAAAGTAAATTCACTTATCAGAAAGATATCTTGGCTAGTTATAACATAGGATGGTAATACATTTCTAAAAGTAGGCTATATATATTATTTTATTCTTCCAGTGTTACACAGATAAGCAGTGCTAGTCATTTTCTCTTCTTTATATGTAACTTTTCCATCTGGAAGCTTTCCTCTATCCTTGAAATTTAGAAATTTTATTAGCTTATATCTAGAGGTGTATCTTTTTCATTAACTCTGACTGGCACTTGGTAAACTCGTTCAAATTGTAGATGAAGCCTATCTTTACTCCAGGGAAGTTTTAACAAGTACTTTTTTTAACTGTTTTCATTCCTCCATTTGTTTCTTCTTTCTGGAATTCCTTTAATTTGTATGTTTTAGCTGATGGTTCCATGTTATTTCCATTGCATATTTTTTTCTTCACAGTTTCCATGTTTTTTGTATTTCTGTTATGAGAAATTTCTTTCATGTCAACACCAGTTACTAATTTAGCTCTCAAGAGTGACTATCTTTACTTTCTGTTCAACTACTGACTTTTTAAACTGAAAAATTATGCTTTAGGACTAAAAAGCCTTCTATGATATAACTAAATCTCTGGAAGTACTCATATTTCTTTCATTGTTAAAAGTGTTATCCATCTACCACAGAAGTTCTAGCTCACCAGAGACTGCGACTATTCTTAAGCATAATGCTTGATTTTCCTCTCAGGTTGCTGAAAACCCCTGCTCACAGACATTCTTATTTCTCTTTGCCTGCTCCTCACTCTAGTCATATTCTATTCCAAGATAAGCATTAAGCACTGAGAAGTATATCAGTCTATCTTCACATGGGCCCACAAAATACTAACTAACAAGATGTGAGGTTTTGGTTGGAGCAATCAGAGAAAGCTTCACTGCCACTGCTTCTCTTCAGGTATAAGCACAGAAACATAGACTCAAGTATAGGGAGAAATATTAAAAAGCCACTCCAATCCCACAAACTTGGGAGGCCCTATGAACCTTGACTGGCAAATATCTCTTTGAGAACCACAGAGTTGATCCTCACATGGGCCTCTCCATGGATTCCCTAGCTCCTAACTTTGCCTACTTACTTATCCTAGTTATTGCTTTGTTTAGAAGTGAATTGGATAAAAATGGAAGAAGTTGTCAGGGATACCAGCTATCTAGCAGTTATATTTTATAGAATTTTCCACCCTAGCTTCTTAGCCTAGGTGAGATCAGCTCCCTAGGTGGGATCAGCTCCCTAGGGCAATGAATGAGAGGACTGTAGGATTTATAAATGAACAATAAAGAAACTCATCATCACAGTGACCTGTGATGATTTACCATGAAATCCATGAAAACTAAATATAAAAGTTTAATTTATCTGACAATTAATCCAAATAATATTTTCCCACTGCTTGAGAAAAAAATTAAACTATAGTTAGAAATAAGAGGTTTTATAATATGAAAATATTAAGAAAAAATAATTTACCTAATTTGTGATGCATTTTGTTCTCTGGTGTCGAGTTAGATCTTTTTACTCTCGAATCATCTGCAAATTTTACAAGAAATATCATGAGTGATGGCTGCTAATTAATTCCATGTTGAGTTAAAGTATGTTACTCAGTCAACATCAGTATAAATACTTTAAAATAAAATTTGACTTGACAGTACATTTTTTTACCTCCTTTGCTTTTCATTGCTGAATGAAGACTCATGAAAAACAGTATAGTATGTCTCTAGATTTTGCTACAATTAATACAACTTAAGCAGATAACAATTATAAGTCACAAAAAACAAATAGGCTTTCTATTGCTTATGGACTTGAAGCAAAATTAGTCACTCAGTGGATTAAAATACAAGGTGTGATAATAAATAATTAATATGTTAATAATGTAATCTATGATCCTTAAAGTTCTAAAACAGTTCAACTATACTGAATTTAGCAGTGTGACAATTAGGTCAAGGGTTCTCAATTTCAGTGTGGTAAACAGCATCTAAACATAGCGGCCATCAATTCTTTCTCCTCCTGTGCACAAATGTTGTTCTTCATCAAGAGGCAAAGTTTAATTCCCTTTTCCTTAGATCTCCGCTGGCCTTAGTGAATAGTTCAACTAACAAAATTAAGAAGAGATGACATTCTGGGATTTTGAAGGCTAAGTTCTAAGATATGCAAGTTCCACCTGGGTCTCTTGGAACTTCACTCTAGGGAAAGACAGCCACCATGTATGAAGATTAATTACCCCAAGACTACATTGATGTGAGGAAATCCCAGATAACCACATGGAAACGCTATGTGGAAGAAAAAAAAGATGCTTGGCCACCCCTCTCCCTCCCAACTATTTCAGCCACCCTGGCTGGGCACCAAATATATTGGTGAAGAAGTCACCTTGGACTTCCAGCCCAGCTGTTCCTTCAAATGACCCCAACCCCAGGGGCCTGCATCCATCTACAAATGCATGAGAGAGCCAAAATGAGAATCGCCTAGCTAAGCTAAGTTCCCTCCCTCTCTCACCTAGGTACAAGGTCTTACAAATCTCTAACCATAAAGTAAGGCTCTTAAAAGTAGGTACTCAACACACACTTGCCACCAGTGGTAATTTAAACAAAACAGCATACCTTACTTTTGTAGCATAATGCTACAAAAATCTAGACAGTAGAAAATAAATCATAACTTACCTGAACTTTCCTGAACTTCATTATCATCCCCATCCAAATTATTCTTCCCAGACGTTAAATAATTCTTGAGCCTGGAAGGTCCACTTAAGAAAGAACAAACCACAAGATTTGTGTTTTAGAATAAATAAATCTAATAAATCTACCTTAATGGGTCAACTTTCTCCTAAAACTGCCAAAGATTTCTTTCTTTTAAAACCAAGAATGGTGTTATAGAACTTTAAGAATATACTCACTGCATAAAACAAAATCTACAATTTAGTTCCACAATTGATTTGTCAAACACAATAATACTGAATTTTATAACCTTTCAAACTAACTCATGGATCAGAATTACAAATTTAAGTCAACGCAAGTAACATTCTTTGATAAAAATCAAACCGTAAGAAATAAAATTAGAAATGATCAGCTTATATTAATTTTTTTAAACTACAGCCAAAAACAAGTAATTTAAAATACAGTCCAGAAACTGTTCAGAGATAATTCAGCTTATTCAAGTCCTAGATCCTCTTCCTCCTATTATGACCCCAGGACAGGCCTCATAGCCATAGGTTCCTAAATAGTAAAGAGATCTTAGCTATCCCTTTGAAGTCTGAGACACTGCTATAATTTACCATCCCTTCATTTTGAAAAAGGGTTATATGACTTCAGATATTATGAAAGTAGGTTAATTTGGTTTGCTCACTGAGTATGCTCACTTTAAACATATATCCACAAATTCTTAGGTAATGTTCCTTTCAAAAGGTACATACTAATTCTAACTCCCCTCTTCCTGAGTGTGGTGTAGACTTAGTGACTTGTTTCTAATGAACAGAATAAAGTGGAAGACTTTAGAGACCAGGTCATTAAAAGGTACTATGACCTCTGTCATAGTCACACTTTCTCTTGGATCACCTGCTGGTGGAAGCCAGTTGTCATATTAAACAGCCCTATGGAGAGAGCCACAAGACAAGGAACTGTGACCTGCAGCTAACAGCTACGTGAGCAAGCCACCATATAAGTGGATCCTCCAAGTTCCAGTCAAGCTTTCAAAGGATTGCAAACCAAACAGATCTTGACCACTATACCTCATGAGAATCCCTGAGCCTGAACTAGCCAGCTAAGTCTCTCCCAGATTTCTACCCACAGAAACTGGAATAATGTCTGCAAGCCATTAACAAAACTAAAATTAAACTTTGGGGGTAATTTGTTACATGGCAATAGGTAGCAAATACAATGAGTAAATCCTATTATCCTTAGAACACATGCATACCTCCCTTCCAAAACCGAGGTCCCAGGCTCTCCAGAATCCAAGTTAGACTCTGCTGGTGTCTTGCATGTATATCCATTGATCTGAGACTTTAGATGCACACTTTGTGCAGCCATACTATCTTGATCCTTTGAGCTTCCTGTATCTCTATGAAAATGAAAAGTTTATAATCGTTCATATTTCTTCAAAAAATATTTCTCCCAGAAACATTACAGAGGTAAGTAGACAATATAATATTGGCTATAACAAGTATCAGATAACCTTGTTCAGGTCCTAAAATTTACAACTAGTCCAGGAAGGAAATTATGTTTCTAGAACCTACCAAGAGTTCTAATTTGAAAAATTCTGATAAAAGAAATGGTACAGATCCGGCCTAACAAAGATAGAAACGATAACAGGAGGGCACTGGGAGACATTACCTATGAGCAGCTTATGATGTATACTACATAGTTAATCCAACATGGGTTTATGAAAATCCACAAACAACTGAAATTGTTTTCAGAGGGACCTAGACCCATCTCTTTGGTAGCTGACAGCCAACTGGTTTACCCTAAATATATGTAAACACATTATTCCTAGACTGCATAATTCTCTCTCCTCCCTCACATTTCTCTTACAAGTCCTGTTTTAATATGCTTCTTGATTCAGTCTACCAGCCTATTCTTATTATACATGAAAAAAATCTGCATGCAATAGAACAAAAGAACATGCAAACTTCTGAGTATTCTTTGATAGTTTATTTCTGGAGGTTCTAGTCTCTGTCTAGGTCCTACAACTAGAGTCAAAAGAAATAAAAAAGGTCATTAGAGAATACTATGAACAATTAAACACCAACAAATCAGATAACCTAGATGGAACGGACAAATTCCTAGAAACACACAAATTACCAAAAGTGATTCAAGAAAAAATAAACAATCTCAAAAATTTATAACAATAGGATAAATCAGTAATCAAAAAACTAACAGAAAAGCCCAGGCCCAGATAGGTTCACCACTGAATTCTACCATTATTTAAAGACTTAATACGAATTCTTCATAAACTCTTCCAAAAACAGAAGAACACTTCCCAACTCATTTTGTGAAGTCAGTATCATCCTGATATCAAAACCAGACAAACACAAGAAAACTACAGACAAAAAAACCCAAAAAACAAACACCACCTCCACAAATTACTAGCAACATACAAACAGAATTATACATGATGACAGAATGAGATTTACACCAGAGATGCAAGTTTGGTCTAATATCCAACAATCAATTAATGTAATACACAATCTCAATTAGAAAAAAATCACATTGTCATATCAATAGATTAAAAACAAATTTGACAAAATGCAGTATTTTTATGATAAAAACACTCAACAAACTAGCAATAAAAAAGAACTTCTTCAACTTGATAAAAGGGCATCTATGAAAACCCACAGCTAACAACATATTGAACGGTGAAAGACTGGATGTTTTCCCTCAAAGATTAAGAACAAGACAAGGAAGTCTACTGAATATAGTACTGAAGATTTTAGCCAGGGCAATAATGCAAGAAAAAGAAAGTGAAAGCATCCAGATTGGAAAGGAAGAAGTAAAACTATCACAAATGACATGATCTTGTACTTACAAAGTCCTACAAAATCTACTAAAAAGCTATCAGAACTAACTCATGAGTTCAACAAGGCTGCAGGATAAAGACTGACATACAAAAAAATCAATTGTATTTCTATACACTTGCAATGGACAATTCAAAAATGAAACTTAAAAAGAATTCATTCACAATAGCATCAAAAGGAATACTTAGGAATAAATTTAACAGAAGTGTAATGGAGAGTAACAGCTCAGGGGCAGAGCACATGCTTAATTAGGAGAGGTCCTGGGTTCAATTCCCAGTAACTCCATTTAAAAACAAACAAACAAAAAGAAATGGTAAAATTTAAACTCTCAAAACACTGTTGGAAAAAAATTAAAGAAGATCTAAATAACAGGAAAAACATCCCATTTTCATGGCTCAATGGACATTGTTAAGATGACAATATTCCTCAGATTGATAGATTCAACACAATCTCTATCAGAATCCCAAATGACATCTTTGTAGAAATTGATATACTGAATCTAGAATTTATACGGAATTGCATGGGACCCAGAATAGCCAAAATATCCCTGAAAAAGAAAAGTCACGCTTTCTGATTTCAAACTTACCTCAAAGCAATGGTAATCATGACAGTGTGGTACTAGAAAAAACAACTGGTATATAGACAACAGAATAAAATTGAGAATCCAGAAATAAACCTATACATCTATGGTCAGCTGATTTTAAAAAATGGCGCTAAGCCCATTTAATGGGGGCAATAAATGTCTTTTCTATAGTTATGGGACAACTGGATAGTCACAATCCAAAAGAATGAAGTTGGACCCTTCACAGGATATACAAAAAATAACTCAAAATGGATCAAAGACTTAAATTTAAGAGCTAAAACTATAAAAAAGCTAAAACTTAGGAAAAAAGCAGGAGTAAATATTTTTAAATTTGAATTGAGAAAAGGGTTCTTAGATATGACACCAAAAGTACAAGCAACAACAGACAAAATAGATAAATGAGACTTTATGAAAATTAAAAACTTTTGTGCTTCAAAGGACACAATCAAGAAAGTGAGACAACCCAAAGAATGAGACAGAATATTTGCAAATCATTTATCTGAAAAGAGAGTTGTATCTAGAATACATAAATACCTCTTAGAATTCAATAAAAAAGACAACCCAATTTAAAATTAGGCAAAGGACCTGAAAAAATCTGTAAAGATATGTAAATGGCCAATAAGCACACAAAAGATGCTTGTCATCATTAGTCCTCATGGAAATGAAAATGAAAATCGCAATGAAATACCATTTCCTACCAACTAGAATGGCTAGAATCAAAGGCAGGTAATAACAAATGTTGACAAGGATGTGAAGACACTGGAAGCCTCATACACTGCTGGTAGGAATGTAAAATGGTGCAAATGCTTTGGAAAACAGTCTTGCAGTTCCTCAAAAGATTAAAGGAAGAGTTATTACACGACTTGGCAATTCCACTTGTACACAAATGTTTATATCAGCATTACTCTGTAATAGCCAAACGGTAGAAGCAACTCAAATGTCCACCAATGGATAAATGAATAAACAAAATTTGGTGTAACAAAACAAAATAGTACTCAGTCATAAAAAGGAATGAAGTACTGATACATGGTACAACACATGTAAAACACAAAATACACAAAATGAAAGAAACCAATACAAAAAAACTTGATTCTATATGATTTCATTCACATGAAAGTTCAGAGAAGAGAAATCTATAGAGACATAAATTAGGTTAGCAGTCGCTTAGGGTTGTTGGGGAGAGGGACAGGGAGATGATCACTGAAGGATACTGGTGATGAAAATGTTCTAAAATTAACTGTTTTGATGGTTTGCACTTCTCTATGAATACAACTGAACACATTTCATGAGTGACCTGCATGTGAATTATACCTCAATTAAGTTGTTAAAAAATCTAATGTAGTGAGCTTCTACTCCAAATGGCTTAGAGAAATAATACAAAAATTAGAATGCTTATAAAAATTTTAAATGAGAGAAACTCAAAGAAATTGCTTCTTATACTTTAAATGCACTAGCTCTTTAAGATTTTTCTTTTTCTAAAGGCTTTAAGAGGGGAAGAAGGATGTTAGCTTGTAGTTTAATTAATGACCATGGTTACTAGGTTATAAGCAAAAAATAGCACTTTAAAACAAGTTAAAAGTTTTAATATCTGTTACTCATATAAAGGAGAAGTTCACATAATATTTCTAATCAGGAAGATTCCTTAGACAAAGCAGACACATACTCATATTATAATGTAATAATGTTTTCTCTTTTTTTCCTTTCCTAAATACAGAACAATAAAACTGCTAACATGCCTTTTATATCTAAATTATCTTTGAGGTTTCCACAAGAGTCACTAAGTAAGTTTATCTTTCCACTTTATGACAGATAGAATACCAAAATAATTACATATTTGATTTTCTACACATAGTAAGTATTTAATGACTATACAGCTTAACTAAACAAATGTCTGAAAGATTCTTCTTTCTATGAATCCAGATACCAAACAGGTTTTCTTAAGCAGATACTGAATCAACTATCAACTTCAGATATTTCTAACTAGACTAACTCCTTCTCACTGTGCATAAAACAAGGTTTGTTTTAGGGATACAAGCTCAAACTCAAACTCAACATAAAAACTCGACTTTTTTTTTTTTTTGCCTTAATATTTTTCTCTTTCCTTTTTTTTTTTGGTTTGGTTGGGGTTTTTGGCGGGGGCGTGGGGGTAATTAGGTTTATTCACTTATTTATTTTTTTAATGGAGGTACTAGGGATTGAATCTAGGACCTCATGCATGCTAGGCATGCATTCTACCACTGAGCTATACCCTTCCCCTTGCCTTAGTATTTCTTTCAACTCATAGCTAAGGCTTATCTGCTTTGTTTAATAAAAGAGAGATCTATTTTGTTAATACATTCCAGTAAAAACAACTGGATTAGTAGTCAGAAGACCTAGGTATCCAATGACACACTTTATTTAACCTATATGTACCTTCTTCTTCATAAAACTGGAACTAATACCTGTCCTATTCACCTCTCAAGATTTTTCATGAAAATTAAATGATATAAGGAACAGGCTGATGTAAATATGGAAACGTGATATAAGACAGAGAGGGCATTATATATCAGTTGGGGGAAATGTTCTATTCAATACTGTTTAGATAGTCTGCACCATAATGACATACACTAATATATTTTAGAACACTAACATTTATATCAATACATCCCTAGCACCTTGCAGTTTCTCACACATAATATGTATTAAGTATTTTTTGAGTGAATGAATGAGTGAACATTTATATCAAAGAGTAAAAACACATTAAGAATAATACCTCACTAGGTTGTTAGGACTCATGAGAATTCACTGAAAACACCTAGCAAATACTTGATATATAATAACCACTAAAAGATGTTAACTATTATCATCTTATGAAGAAAAGAAATAAGATGTATTCCTGATTACTGAAGTAATATTAACTTCACCTAAAAGAAAGCAACTCAAACTATACATTTAAAATGATTCAGAAAATAAATTTTATGTAATGTGTTTTTACCACAATTTAAAATAAGGAAGCAATTGTTAGGTGACAATAATACTTACCTTATTAATCACTCACATCCCATGTGCTATATATTATTCCCCATTTTAAGATGAGGAATATATTCAGAGAAGTATTTTGCCTGAGGTATCATTAGCTAGCTAATGGCAGAGTATGGATTTACCACGAGGTCTGTCAGAATGCAGACTCCTTTATGCTAATTTTGCTGCTCTATAAATGAGTAAATAAAACATAGACAAACTATTATTAAAATGCCAAACAAAAACAACTATATTGCACACATAACAGACATTACCCAGAAGGATCAAGGTTTTTCTTCTTAGCCAAGTCTGCCTCATCACCTTCCAATGACTCATTCTGGGGACAACTGGAAATTCCATCATGGTCAATAACTCCTCCAGAATCTTTAACATTTAAAACTTTCTGTGCTCGTGAGCTGCCTTTAGCAGCTCTCTTCTGCGTTTTCAATGGGACAGTTTTTTTCCCAATATTCTTAGATGATTGGTTTACTTCTTCAGCAGGTTTTCGTCTACTGTTGTGATACACTGACAATTCATTTCTTATTGAAGAATTGCTATAAAAAGGACCTAAAGGATCAAATGATAACCTGAAGTTAGTATAGTATTTGGCCAGATTATCTGGCTCACTAAAATACCAACATTATTTATATTTTAACATATAAACACATACCCCAATATCATAGGCAACATTTGTTTTCAAATTTAATTCATAAACTACGCATCGCTTCCATTTATAGATACATGTACCAAACCTTTTAGATTAAACACAAGCTTCTAGAACCACCCTCTCCAGTTCTGCCCACTACTCTTCTAGCCATCCTTAAGATCCTGGTATTTCCGCAACGTCCTAGCTTCATCTTCTCACTCCATGTACTCTCTCTGAGAGACCTATCTACCCATAACTTTAATTACTATGTACATGCTGATAACTATAATATTCACCTACTACTCTCCCCCAAATCTGCCCCTCTGATTTTATTTTTATCAGTGAAACAACTATTTACCCAGATGCCTAAATTAGAAATCTGAGTCATCCAAAAATCCTGACCCTATTCATAAGCAATTCCTAAATTCTACTTTCTTTTAATGTCTCTCAAATCCTCTTCTTTTAAGCTCTGCTGTCTGTCATTAGCGGGGTCTTTCAAATCATTTCTTATCTGGATCATTAAAACAGCCTCTTAACTAATCTCCTTTCTCCAGCCTTGCCATTTTTCAATCCATCCCTTCACAGTGTTTCAAGAATCATCCTTGGAAAACAGAAGTTGGATCATTACAACCCTGGTTAGAATCTTTTAGTGATTACCTATAGCTTAAGGATTAAGTCTAAATATTTTTGATACTAATTTATTACTACATCTGAAGTGCTTATTATGTTAACCACAACTCTCAACACTCTCCTCCAAACAAACAAACCAAAAAGAGGCAGGAGTACTGAATTATCTGCATTTCTCTAAAGCACTGGTCTTAAAAGGTAGTCCAGTAGTCCCTAGAGCAGCAAATCAGCAACACCTGTGAATTTGTTGGAAATGAAACTTCTCAGGCCTTACCTCAGACTTACTAAATCAAAATTCTGAGTAGGGTCCTATAATTTGTGTTTTAACAATTCTCCCAGATAATTCTGATGAAACAATTTTTAAAAGGTCAAGCCCTCAGCTACAGATCTCTGCACATGCTACTTCTGCTTGAAATATTCCATCCTTTTCCTCACCACATCCAATCACTTAGGTTACTCTTAATTCATCGTTCAGGAAGCTTTCTCTAATTCCCAAGGCTAAATTGAGTAGCTCTCTCTCAATTCCTTTATAATGTTTATTATACATCTGATTGTTTTACTCATCGCTCTCTTCCAGCAGACTGACAATTTCTTAAGACCAAGATTGGTGTTTTTACCTATCTTTATATTCCCAGTGCCTAACACCAGCGGCAGGACCGTGGTGAAGCAAGAGTAGCCTAGCTTGGAAAAAAATTATTTTCTCAGTTTTACTGATATATAACTCACATGTAACACTGTACAAGTTTAAGGGGTAAAACACAGTAATATGATGTACAGTGCAAAATTATTATCAGAGAGTATATCCCTTTTTATTGAAGCATAGTTGATTTACAATGTTGTATTAGTTTCTAGCGTACAGCATAATGATTGAGTTTACAGATATACTTTTTCATATTCTTTTCATAATAGGGTATTACAAGCTATTGACTATAGTTAGCTGTGCTATACACAGGACCTTGCTGTTTATCTACTTGATGTGTAGTAGTTAGTATTTACAAATCCCATACTCCTAATTTATACTTCCCCACCTCTCTTTCCCTTTTGGTAGCCATGTTTATTTTCTACATCTGTGAGAACATTTCTGTTTTGTAAATAGACTCATTTATATTATTTTTTAGATTCCACATATAAGTGATAACATATATTTGTCTTTCCCTGTCTGTCCTACTTCACTTAGTATTATAATCTCTAGGTCCATCCATATTGCTGCAAATGGCATTATTTCATTCTTTTTATTGCTGAATAGTACTCCATTATATGTACTATACTACAACCTCTTTATACCACAACTTCTTTATATGCCCAGGAGTGGGACTGCTGGATCATATGGTAACTTTATTTTTAGTTTTTTAAGGAATCTCCATACTGTTTTCCCCAGTGGCTACACCAAATTACATCCCCACCAACAATGTAGGAGAGTTTCCTTTCCTCTACATCAGAGGGTACATATTAAAAGTTCTCATAATGAAAAAATATGAATTCTAACTAGGGTGGAAAATTTAAGGTATTTACTCTGAGTCACTCACACAACCCTAAGACCAAGTGCCTCCTTAAACTTCCCATTCTAGGTTATTCACTTGCCTCATCTTGTCCTGGCCCAGCCTAAAACCATTCCTGCCTCACAGTGAGCATTCAGTTCTCGAGGTAAATAAAAAAGCATCAGGATCACAAAGATCAAGAATCAAGAAATCTAGGTTCTATTGTTTTCTAATTCTAGCATAAAGGTCTATGACCTTAGGGGGAACTCAGGTTGCTTTTCTGGGCTTCAGACTTCTTCCATCAGATGAAGGAGTTTGGACCAGGTGATCTATAAGCATTCCTCCACTTGTGTGACTCCCTATTTGATCAGAAACCCAACATGTTTCAGGACTAATATATTTTTCAGATCTTCTCTGGTAAGTTTTGGAGTTCTAGCATGCATATAGAAGCTCTGTAAGATTTTTATTTATTCATATATTTACACATTCATTTACCACAGTACAGTTTCCAGCAACCTGAGGCAAAAAGATAAGTAGCAGTAACAGTAGTAGTTAATATTTTAATACTAAAAATATGCCATTTAATCCTTACAACAACTTAATGAGGTAGAAGTATTGGTAATCACATTTTACAGAGTAAGCACCTACTCAAAGTGGAGGAATCATAATTTGAACTCAGATTTAACTCTAAAATCCAAGAGCTGTGGGGGTGGGAAGGGACAAACTGGGATTTCAAAATGTAGAATAGATAAACAAGCTTGTACTGTGTAGCACAGGGAAATATATACAGGATCTTGTAGTGGCTCACAGCGAAAGAGAATGTGACAATGAAGGTATGTATGTTCATGTATAACTGAATAATCGTGCTCTACACTGGAATTTGACACAACATTGTAAAATGACATTAACTCAATAAAAAAAAAGTTTAAATAAGTGAATGAATAAATAAATAAATAAATAAATAATAAAATCCAAGAGCTGCAACAGAATAAATATTTCTTACTGGACTACGATTTGATAATTCATAGCAACAATGCCTCACAGATGCAGTGCCATATATACACTAGTCGCTCACTTGCTGATCTAAATACTATCTTACCACATACCAATCTTTCCATTATCATCTCCTTTAAAAATACTTCCTAAATAATAAATATTTCATATTATACAGAAAAGACTTGGCACAGCAGGCCTAAGAATGTTACCCACTGAAAGGCCTGCTTGTAAAGTTAGCCCTTGGCTAGCATGTAGGAACTTGAATTTTAGGAGGGTTCCTATCGTTTCCTAACTGCTAAGTGTGGTTTAGTGTGCCTAACTGCTTGTACATCAGAGAGTACATATTAAAAGTTCTCGTATGACAAATACTTGCTTTTCTTCAAGTATGACAAATACTTGCTTTTCTTCAGGGAGTCTGGAATTTCAGTACTTGCTAGGCAGAGGGTGCCTAGATGATCATCCCCAATAAAAATCTTGGGCACGAAACTTCTAATGAGCTTCCCTGATAGACAACATTTTACACATTTGTCAAAACTCACAGCTAGAGGAACTAAGTGCCTCCCGTATGAATCTGCTGAGAGAGGGCTCTTGGAAGCTTACACATGATTTCCTTCACACTTTGCCCATGCAGTCTTTCTCTGCTGATTTTGGTTTATATCTTTTTGCTATAAGGTAACTTCAAACTTCTGTCATCACCTTTCTCACTTCACTTTGACCTGATGACCCTTCTTACTATTTCACTGAGAAAACAAAAATGGTCAGAAGAGTACATTTTCGTTGTGTGGCTGAGCCACACTGACTTCATTTTGTCAGCTCCATCTTGGTCCCCGCAGCCCTACCCGTCCCCTTTCTATGTGACTGAGATTTAGCCTACTCACAAGGAATGAGCCCAAGCCAGATAAGTTACCTATCAACTTTTATCCCTGCCTTCACCTTACATGAAAATTGGAAGAACAACTTCTGTTGACACAGATGGTTAATGGTTATGAGACTCGTGGAGGGGAGAAAAAAAACCCTGGTTCCTGCCAGTGCCGACATGCTTCTCCCTAGTAGTCAGATGTTATTTTTAGCTTTGGTCCCTATAAATTCCCCAGTACCCCTTCTGGCTGCACACAGTGAGCCATGAGTGCCTCTGGATCATCGTCCATCTGATTCTGCCTGTATATAAGTTACCCAAAATAAACTTCATAATTGCACTTTAGGGAGTTGCCTGGTTCATTTTTCAGTCTCAAAGTTCCTTCTCAATTTGGAAGATACTATCCAATATCTCCGCCCCTCAACATTCATCGTCCCACCATCAACTCTATCTGTCTACTTCCAAGTGTCACCGTGCACTCTGTCTTTCCTCTTTTACATGACATGATGTCCTTGCTCATATCTAGGGCTAACCCGTTTACTATGCACTAGATCACATCCCTCTCCTTGCCTACACAAGGACTGTGATCCTGTATTTATCCTCTACCTTTCTATAAGGTCATTTTAACGAGCAGATAAACTGATGTAGCATCTTGTATATTAAAAAGGAGAGGGAGACCTTCCCTCAACCCCGTATCTGCCATGCCCCTTTATCTTACTCTCTCTCTTATCTCACTTACTACACCCTCTTGAACCCATTCCAGTCAGGCTTTTGATCTCATCATTCCACAGAAAGCATTTTTATCAAGGGGACCAACAACCTCCATGTCGCCAAAAACCATACTGTCAATTCTTAGCTCTCATCTAATTGAGGCCATGAGCAGTATTTAAAATAGTTTATCTTCCACTCCTTAAAATGCTTTTATTACTTCACTTCCGTAATGCTTAGCTCTCCTCATTTTCGTTTTGTTTCACTAACTCTCCTTTTCAGTCTCTTCTGATGGACCTCCCTTTCTCCTTCCTACTCTTAACACTGGAGCCTTCCAGGACTCAATTCTTGGCTTTCCTTCTTCTCTAGGTACAGTCTACTACTAGGTGATTTTTAAGCAGTCCCAAAATTTTAAATATCATCTGTATATTGATAAATCCCTAATTATGTCCTCCCAGATATGTCACCTCAACTTTATAGACTCATTTATCAAGCTATCTCCTCAATATATCTATTTTGATATCTAATTAACATATCACAGCCAGAAAGCTTGATATCCTTCCCAAATCTGCTACTCTCATACCTTTACTCATCTCAGCAAACAGTATATCCATTCTTCTAGTTTAGCAAAAAAACTCTGAATCATCCTAGACTCCAGCTCTCACTCTAATTAATCAGTACTTCCTGTGAGTTACCTTCAAAAAAATCCTGAATCCAACCATTTCCATTCTCTTCCCTCCAACCATCTCCCAACTATTCTTCATGTTCCCATTTTTGTCCAGCCCTACTTCTCTCCCTACATTGCAGTGAAAATAATCCTTCTAAAAGATGAGTCAATTAGGTCACTTTTATTGCTTAAAATCCTCTAGTAGCTTTCCAATATACTTCATCTAAACTGTTTATCACAGCCTGCTTCTCTGACTTCATCTCCCAGGCTTGCTCTCTTCTTCAGCCATATTGATCTTGACGTTCCTCAAACATGCCAAGCATGGTCCATCAGTACTTTTACAAATACTGTTCCCTTGGTATGGAATGCTCCACACCAAATTATTTATATGGCTCCCTCCTTCACTTTATTCATATACGTGCTCTAAAAGATCCTAATCAACTCTCATTGCTACCTCTTATAAAAACAGTCTTCTGCTCCATTCTCCTATCTACTCCTACCCCTGCCATTTACTTCCCATCTCTAATTCTTAGCTGCTTTATTTTTTTAATGACCCATCACCAGGTGAATTATATATCTATATTGTTGGTCTTCCTCCAGTAGAATATAAGCCTATGAGAGCAGGGGTTTTTCACTTTTGGTTTTGTTTTTCTACAGCTGTATCCCTCTATCTAGAATACTGTATATGATCCAACCTCATGAATATCTTTATAATTAATTAGTTATTTCTATTGATGACCCAATTTAATTTTTTCCTCATTAGATTTTTCTTAGAGAATAAGGGTATAAATCAAACATACAGCCTGTTATAAATAAACATAATTTAAATAAAAATACTTACTCTGCTCTGATTTTACCACCCACCAATTAGATGGACGCCTGGAAATTCTTCGACTTCTTGTGACAGTTGAAGTAACTTCTTCAGGTGCAATTTTGTTCTTCTTGGACCCACTTGAAAAACACTTCTTTTTGCATTCCTTATCTTTTTTCTGATCCTCTGTATGAGGAACACTGGTGTTACCTTTCTTGTTTCCTAAAACAAAGAAAATCATAAAATAATTCGAAGTCTACTGAACCAAAGAATACTCAGAAAACCACAACAGTTAAAAAACACTTGATTATAGGAACTTCTTAAATTTATCCTGTTTTCATCTCTATCTTTTTTTAAAGTCACATCTTCTCAGTAAGATCTACAACTTTCTATCAGTTAAATGCAAACTTTTCCCATTGCTTCATAGCTAGCATATACTCTCGAGTCAAAAAAAAAAGAGTATACTCTGAAAAGGTAAAATGAAATATATGGGCCCTTCCACTACTTACCAATGACCTGTGTTGAAAAAAAAAAGGTAACTACTGCTTTTCTGCTGTGAAATAATTCATGATTTTTGTCAATCTAATTTATAGAAGAGAAGCCTTAAGTAAGTTTTCAATAAAGAGATCTTTCCCATATGAAGGAAAGAGACTGTTTCTTTGAACAGAATTTAAAGAGGAAATGGAATTTGGAAAACAACAAATGTAGCAAGCAATAAACAGCTAATGAAAAAGTTTAGCATCAAGAGTGATTTCCTCTTACTACAAAGGCAGGTAGGTAAGAAAAGATCTAAAAAGGAACAGATAAATTCTAGTTTTGTTTTTGCGACTGAAAACCAGGAAGAAGGGGATATCAGGGAAATACAGACTACTTTAATTATTGCATCTAAAAAGGGTACAACCACCAAAATGAGTTTAAAAATTGAAAATTTCTTTTTTTCAGAAAGAAAATTAAAACATTAGATGTTAGCAGGCATAATGAAAGTTTTTTTGACCAGAATTTTTAAGTTCCTGACCAAAGATTTCTTTGATATCCAAACAAGGAATTAAAATCACATCAAGTAGGAAACTTTCATAGAGTAAATAAACTGCATGAAAGTATGTCAGATCAGGGGGGATGGCCAAGATGGCAGAGAAGGAAGACCCTGAGCTCACTTCCTCCCACAGGCACACTAAAATTATAACTCTTTACAAAGCAACTATTGATAAGAATGATGTAAAGACTAGCCGAAAAGACCTTCTACAACTAAAGATATCAAGAAGGAACCACAAGACAGGTAGGAGGGGCAGAAGTGAGGGATAGTCAAGACCCAGGCTGGGCAACTCACAAATAGAGGGATAATTACAATTGTATAATTCTCCCCAGAGAACTAGGGGTCCAAGCCCAACACTGGGCTCCCCAGTCTGAGTTTTCTCCACCAGGAAGGCAAGTCCCCAGAACGTTTGGCTTTGAAGGCCAGCGGGCTTACTTTCAGGAGAATCAGAGGGCTATAGGAAATAGAGACTCCACTCTTAATAGGCAAAGGCATTGTAATTAAAACGGCAAAATCTCAAATGCTCCAAGACCCAGAGCAGATGCTCCAAGACCCAGAGCAGATGCAGTAACTTGAAGGGAGCCTGGGTCATACCCACGTGCTGATCTTGGAGGGCCTCCCACAGAGGCAGGAGGCAACTGGAGCTTACCCTGGGGACACAGACGCCAGTTGCAGCCATTTTGGGGAGTTGTTCTTCCAGAAGGACACTGGTGATGGCAAGCACGATTTCGGAATCCTCCCTCTAGCTTTTTAGTGCCAGGTCTCAGCTCCTCTCACTAGCTGGTTGGCACCAGTCCTGGGATGCCCCAGGACAAGAAGCTAGCCTAGTGGGGACACAGCCCCACTCACCAGTGGGCCAGCACTAGCCCCTGGATCTCTTGGACCCCACAGTCAGCCACTGGGACTCAGCCCTGCCCACCATCAGGCTGACACCAGCTCCAGGAATCCTGGGACCCCACAGCCAGAAACACAAGGAACCAGCTCTGCCAGACAGTGGAACAACACAAGCTCCAGGATACCCTGGACCCCACAGCCACCAATAACAGAAACCAGCCCTGACTACCAGCAAATCAACACCAGCCCCAGGACCACCCCTGACCCCCCAGGTCACAGCCTTGCCCACCAGCAGGCCAACACTAGCTCCAAAACCCCCAGCACTACAGTCAGCCATACCAGGACCTGGCCCCGCCCATCAGCAGCCAGCAGCCTCCATACTAGGCAGGACCAGACAACCAATGAGACTTGGGGCAAGTCATGCTTACCAGTGCACCCACAGTAGTCAGTCACTACAACACAAGGGCCAACTCAACCCAAAGAGGGTATCATTAGAGCATACAGATCTGGTGACCAGAGGGGAGTGCACTGGACACCTCCTATAGAAAGCCACTAATCCAAGATCGGAAACGTAACCAACCTACCAAACACACAGAAATAAAAAGAGAATTAACAAAATGAGGTGACAGAGGAATATGTTCTAAACAAAGGAACAAGGCAAAACCTTAGAAAAATTAACTGAAGTGGTGATAAGCAATCTACCCAAAAAGAGTTGAAGATAATGATCTTAATAAAGATGCTCAAAGAACTAAGATGAATGAACGAACACACTGAGAAATTAGAAGTTTCTAGCAAAGACTTAGAAAATATAAAGAAGGACCAGAACTGAAGAATACAATAACTAAAATAAAAAATATGTTAAAAGGAATCAACAGTAGATTAGTAGAATACATTTAAAACTACAAAAGGGAAAAAAGCTACAACTAAGATTCTATCCAGCAAGGCTATCATTCAGATTTGAATGAGTTTTATAGACAAGCAAAAGCTAAGAGTTCAGCACCATGAAATCAACTTCACAACAAGTGTTAAAGAGACTTCTCTAAGTAGAAAAGACCACAATTAGGAATATAAAAATTATGAAGGGAAAAATCTCATTGATAAAGGCAAATATACAATAAAGATACTAGATCAACCACTCATAATAGTAGTAGAAAGGTTAAAAGACAAAAGTAGTAAATTATCTACATCCTCAAGTAGTTAAGGTATAAATACTGCACACATGATGTCAAAAATTTTTAAATATGGTGAAGGAGGAGTGAAAATGACCTGCTGTTAAGATGCATTCAAACTTAAGAGATCAGTAACTTAAAATAACTGTGTGTGTGTATGTGTGTACAGAGAGAGAGGAAGAGAGGGAGATTGCTATACATAAACCTCATGTTAACCACAAGCCAAAAATCCATAACAGGTACACACACAAAAAGGAGAAAAGAATCCAAACGTAACACTAAAGATAGTCATCAAATCACAAGGGAAGAGAGCAAAAGAAGGAACATAAAATATCTACTAAAACAAGCCAAAAAAAAATTAACAAAATGCAGTAAGTAAATACTATCAATAATTACTCTAAATGTAAATGAATTAAATGCTCCAATCAAAAGAAACAGAGTTACTAAATAGATACAAAAACAAGACCCATGCAGATGCTACCTACAAGAGACTCACACTTCAGATCTAAAGAGAGACACAGACTGAAAGTGAGGGGACAGAAAAAAGGTATTCCATGCAAATGGAAATCAAAAGAAAGCTGGGGTAGCAATACTTATTTCAGACAAAATAGACTCTAAAACAAAAACTGTAACAAGAAACAAAGAACATTATATAATGATCAAGAGGTCAATCCAAGAAGACATACCAACTGTAAATATATATGCATCCAACACAGGTGCACCTAAATATGTAAAGGAAATATTAATGGATATAAAGGAAGAAACTGACAGTAACAGTAATATAGGGAACTTTGCATCCCATTTAAATCAATGGATAGATCATCCAGACAGAAAATCAACTTGGGGAATATGGAGATAGTCACCAAAATTTATAGATGAAATGTGGAAAAGTAATCAAGAAGACACAAAAGTAAATCAAACAAAGAAACATGGCAGAGAACCAGAATATTACAGCATCAGGTATTAACCAGTGCTTAATTAGGCAGAATGAAAACTGCACCTTAGTCATCTTTATTACCTACAGCATATAATATTGTGTATGGTGCACAGGCTCTCAATAAAAAATCATCAAAATAATGAATTTAGGGTGAAGCCTGTATTTCACTAGGCAATGATAACAGCAAAATTGCTACCTAGCATAAGCTATTTTAGATGCTCATCTAAATTGTGACACCCAAAATGTGGTTCACAAACCAGTTATATCAGCATCACCTGGGATAGAATGTTTAGAAAT